ATTTTTTTTCCCCGTCCCCCTTCCCCACTTTTCTACTGTCTATTATTTACATTTCCTTACCTAGTATATTATGTTTAACGGATCTTATTTTTTTCCCCCTTTTTTACCTCCCATGGCTTAACCCCTTTTCTACTCAAGTTGCTCCTGAGCGAGGGTCAAAGTTAGTCATAATGATGCTCAAAATGCCACATTGGTAATAGTAATACTTAACGAACAGGTTTGTCAAACAACCTTCGGTACACTGATAGCATAACCATGCGAAGAGAGCAGCATATTGACGGTTTGTTACAAGAAGAGTCTTGTAGTCGTTGATATGGTACTTGGCCAGACCATATCTATCAATAATCTCACGTCAAGACATCTTATCCGTCCACAGCAGTAAAACATTGATCCGGTGTTTAGGTTTTTGCCGTATAAATATCAATATAAACAATTCACTGCCTAAAACGGGAGCTTTTTCACCTAGACGTCCATCCCTATTTTTATGCGAATAGAACCGAGTCGTGGGATTCTTCTATTATGTCTATATTTATAACCGTAAGGGTTATAGGCACTATCAGTACTAACTATCCTCCCATCAAGCTGTTGATGTGATTATGAGGAGGGAACAGCAACCGAACATAGAGGTGTTTTATCAACATCACCCAGTAATGTTTAGCCAAGTGATCCAGATTTTGAACCTGTTCCGGACGGTGTATCCCAAACAAAAGGAGTAAGAAACTAAAATAAAGAGAACGCCTACCCAGAAGCTGAAGGCCGTGTTAATGTAAGAGTAAGACAGTATCGTAAGAACGTTAAAACCGGGCAGGTGGAGGAAGGTGAGGATTTGGGTTAGAGCCAGTGTGTATTTCGAAGATATGGTATGGAAAGGAAGGGAGTTGTCGAGAAATAAGGTTGTAACAATATCGCCACACAGTGGTTCATAGGTGTATGAAGCCTGAGCAGGGAAGAAAGATGTATCCACAGAGCAGATGAAGAACTCGATCTAGTATTTAACAGATGGGTATCGTAATCGTTTCATTAAAGATTGCTCGAAAGCCGTCTACTTGGACGGTGTAGTGTGGGGTGGAAAGTAAAGCGGTGATGGACGGATGGATGGACGGGTTGAAGGTCGAAAATAAAAAGTGTGGTTTAGAGGACTGGTACTGAATAGAATTACCATGGCCCGACTTTGAGCGGTAGGCCAGCACCGTATGTGCCCGACATGAGCTGTTGGCGTATCGACGAGACGTCTCCCTGAGAGCTGTTGCACGGGTTGCCCACGTTTGCCACCTATCCACCCAAGGCTCTGGTTGAGCTCGTTTTAGAGCATCTTGAAGCTTCCCTCCAGCAGTCTCATTTGTGCTTTGCCAGTTTTTGGTCCCAGCCTCCGTACTGAAGTTGGATACCACCTCCACCGCTTCGCTGCTCTCTATGACAGACTCCATGCTTTGCTCATCTCTTCGTACGCGGCGTATTCTTCGATATTATGCTGCGGTGTCGTCCACCGTGGGAGTCGGTGTATGATATCCGTAGCACCGTCTAGGTAGCTCAGAGACGTCGACGGCTGTGATTCATTTGGAGGGAGGAAATGTGGTGTAAAATCATTTAGGGCTTCGAGGAGGTTGGTAAGATGCTGACGGACTCGGTTATATGCATAGTCGGAGGATGGGTTCCCGCCCAGCGGGAACGAGGACTGTAGGGTGGACTGGTAGTTGCTAAGGACCTCAAGGGCCGCACTGACGCTGGGTCGGGGGGCAGTGTGCATGACTTCTGAGGCTATCTCGGGATGACGATCACAGAGCGATCTCAACACAGACCTCAGGGCATCCGTATCGAGTGTTTCCATTAACCGAGGGAGTGACAGTGGCCGGCCGGAAACGTTTGGTCTCGGTCGTTTGAGATGACGGGGAGCTAACGGCCGTGGATGGAGGGCAGGAGAGCCGGAAGGCGACGCAGACATGCGAGTGTCGCCACTGGGGGGACAGTCATCCTCAGCCTTTCTCTTTCGGTTCACCGATGTGTTCGTCGATGACACTACAGGTAACAGTCAGTCAGCCATGTCGGGGTTCCTGCTATTAGCCAAAGAGGTCCAGGAGGGCTCGGAGTTAGTCCTACTGGAATATGACGGAGAGCGGCAAGACGTCTCGTAGAAGTGAGGAGGAACAGGCGGTGTGGCTATCAGGCTGTTCATGGTCACCGAGGGCTGCTCGGCAAGAAGTATTAGAAGGTGTGTTGCTGCTGGATGAGTATCTGCTGTCTGGTCCCTTTCTTCTGTACGCGGGCTCCTGCTGGTGGGTTGGTGAAGATGGGAGAAGAGAAGGACCAAAGAAAGGAGAAGGGAAAAAAAGAGGGAGAAAGCCAAAAGGCGGCCTTGGGTTGAGTTGGCAGAAAAAAAAAAAGAAAAGGCCCAAGCTTAGCTTCTGAGCGTGACCATACCTTACACAGCTACATGGAAGCCAACACTCACATAGCATTACATAGTATATCAGTCGTCCTAGAGTTGTGATGCTAAGCCTTGGAAGCGAACCCCGATAGATATTGATTTGCCAGAGAGTAACGGTGGGCATGGTAGCTATGGTGACGGATGTTTGTTTATCCCTAGACTTGGAGTCCTTTGTATACCATACTATGCCTAGATTATGCGGCGAAGCTGTTCTCGGGCTGGACACTACTATAGAGACTCTCATGATAGTAATACAGGCCTGACTCCAGCCATCACTGCAGTTACACGAGTGCGGTCGGTTCATAGATCATGTAGTAGCCGAGACTTATAGTAAAATGGCTATCCTTCCTGGTTCGAATATTATACCTACTCTATAGGTACTAAGTTATCTCTGACTAGTGACGAGATTTTGTTTACCATGCGATAGAATGACTGTCTACTCATGAGAACCGACACTGGGGTAACATCACTATCCACTACGGGTGCTTGCGACAATTGACTGAAAAAAGGCTGATTGATATCCTGGGTAATGGGAATATTGCAAAGCTCTCTACATGCCCCGTTCATAATGGATGTTGGCGCAATATTTGGAGACCAAAGTTCCCGACATTGGGTTCGACCTGCATATAGGAGCCGTTTGAGATGCGAATGGATAATTCCTTCGTGCAACTTCCAAACCCACAGCTAACTCACGATCAAAACCAGAGCCAAAATTGGATTCTTTTTGGTAGACCAACCAGGAAGCGCCAAACAAACGTACTCTTCGCAGCATGTAGATACCTTCGCCAAAGTGGCTGAAAGCGAAGTGCTAACTCGGGGCCCAATATTCCCTTTCGTACCAGTGCTTCGCAAGTCTTCGTCTCCTTTGTGCGGTCAATGGTCGTATATTCTGCGATTAATGCAATATCTTTTGTTTTGCGCTTAAAATCATATGCTACTAGAGCCATAGTAGGATAGACATTATACCAGCAACCAAATATAAGACTATCGAAGATCTCATGGCGGTTTAGCTCTGGGAACCTCATTTCCTCGAATCGGCGTTCTAATTCCGGCCAATCCAGGTTTATATCTTCGTAGGGTTTATGGCCATATACCATATAATAGAGGAGAGACCCAACGGCAAACTGCTCAGTCCTAGCAGAGCAGAGACCGTAGGTACCCTCTAACGGCCCGGCGGCCAACTGTACGGCCCATGGAGCACGGGTATATTCTAGCAACTGCCCAATAGTGGTGGCACGACCGAAATCAGATAGTTTTAGATTAAGTCTCTCATCCAGGAGGCAATTCGATGTATTCAGATCATTATGGCAGAAGCCCATCCTCTCCACATATTCAAGCGCAGATGTGAGTTGTTGTATCCATCGAGCGATGAGAGTAGGGTCCTCATAATCTTTCACACGGATAAGACGCCCGAAGAAATGGTCATTTTCTCTCTCCTGATATTCATGGAAGCGATAGATGATTGCCTTGTTTGCGCAGAATGATAGGAAAAGATGCTCTGGAAATATAAGAAAACATTCCACGATATGCGGGCATCTGTCCTGGCGCTCGTTAAGGCATTTGTAAAAGGCGATATCCTTTTGCAAAGGATGCCCCATCACCTTCTCCTCTTCATGGTCTCGGTCGGGGCGGACGGTTTTCACCACAATGGTTGGACTGACGTGGTAGACGTACGCGTATCCGCCAACGCCAACACAGTGATGTTTGTTCAGAGTATCATAGGAGTGGAAGCCCATGACAAATATCACGGCGCCTATAATCGTGGTTTCATAGGCGTGTAGAGGTCGGGCGAGCTGTGCTGCGGCAGACAGTTGATTGTTCGGTGCTGGTAAGAGATTGGGATTTTTGTTTAATCCCTAAGGGCTAAGGGGAGAAGGAAGAAGATTGTCCGGTATTTTGTTTTGGCACCGTCTGTGGCCTGCTTGGAGAGACGAGGTGTCTAGCAGGGCCCCTCGCCATATTCTCATACTAGAATGGGGGATCCGAATATTCATTTGACTATTAGAAGGATAATATTTTTGTGATTCATATTCATGTATAACTATATCCTTACTATGCGTGCATGCCGATGTACCCTTAGGCCCAGCCTATTCTCTGAGCCAGGGCGTCAGCGAACTGCGGTTCCGATAGGTAGAGATAGATGCATTACCTATGGTACAATCTGCCGCCATCATCCGGCATAACTGCTAAATATCAGTGCTTTTGAACATTGGTCGTCCCATGGTTATGAGGAATTATGACATCACCATTGGGCAACGGCCCTTTTTCAGCTCCATCCATCAGTGCCAATAGTGATAGCTGCGCCTTTATCAAGCCTCTATTATATTCTTTTCAGGCCTTGCCTGTCAAATCACGTTCGCTCTAGTTAATAATATGTAGTTTGTTAAAAACGCTCTCAGCTATTTTTTATAGCTGCTAACTCGTAGTTTTCTAGTTTGTTCTATATCAAGCTGCCAGCCCTGCTAGAGAGTTCATGAGGAGCAAGCCAAGTTAAGTTAATTATATCATCGACTTGGCCATCGCGCCAAGCCCAAACTATATAAACGTGCTCTTCGCACTTTCCCTCCCTCATTCTCATCATCACTTTAATTATATATAATATACTCCTTATTCCAAAACTTTTTCCACATACTCTTATTCCACAATGGAGAAACTATTTGACGTTTTTATGATGACCTTCGTGGCTCTGTTTCTTACGGTGCCATTCGTGTCTATATTTATAATATTGGTCTGGCCGGAATTGGAAAAAGCATTGGATGCAGCAGTTGTAAGGTGGATTGTGAAGATAAGAAAAGTGAAAGGCATATTCGATGCTAAAGAATCACGCCGGCAACAAGAGGAACGGATTCGCTTGATGAGGAATATAGACCATGACATACGGGTACTCAAACAAAGGGATATTTTCCTCAGGGCAATGGTTCTGGAGTTCGCTGCTGAGGGCAAAGTCGAAGAGATTGAGGGACTCGATTTTATCGGTCCTAAGAACTGGCGGAAGAAGTTAGCAGACTCGAAAGAGAGACTTCGGACACATGAAGGATACTGTGAATCCTTATTTTACACAGCACCGGAATGGCCGAAAGTGAGAGGGTATATGAAATCGCTGGATCGGTTGAATAAAAAGTGGGGGAAAGAAAAGGCGCGGTTGTATCTGAGAGATGCCGGAATAGATATGTGTAAGGGCGGAGGTTGCTGTTCAAGAAGTTGCGGATGCTGCTGGAGGCCCCGGAGTATGTCTCCATCAGGGGAGCTGTATTATTCCCACTGCACTGTGTTCTGTCTTTGCTGTATTCGGGAGAGAGGGTTGGCAAGTCTCAAGCAATATGCCTTTCGTATCCCCGAATGGATATATAATAAGACACCGACTGAGGTAGCCGAGGCACAGCTCAGACTCAGCTAGGGGCGAGCTGTTCTTCATGTCGGCAGTGTAATTGTCTCCTGGCGCAGAGCGCCGATTATCATTAGTGTTGGAGGTCCCATTATCATTCGGGTCAGGAGTAGCAGGCGGTTGCACGTGATTAGTTATATGTTACCTTTTTTGGCAGCTCTTTGCTTAGATCGCGAGCGTGTCACAACAACACCACCACCATCAAAACAACACAACTACCATCAACAGCAATAAACAATAACAATAACACCAAGATGGACTCCGCTGCCGCCGTTAGCAACAGCTGCGGCACAGTCCTCCTGGCTCTTGTTGAGCACCGGGGAGGTGTTCGGCATGGTACTTATTCTTGTGGCCTGGGGCAGTTTTATCTGGGGCCCTTGAGCCGAAAGGATGCAGCAGTTATTGTAGGTATCATATCCTATAAAGATAAATAATATCGTACTAACAGGTGATAGGATCAGCCGCCACCTGCCGACCCCTTCTCCTAGCAAGCTCCCGCGGGTGGCGCCCGCGGGCACGATGCGGCACCAGCAGACCCCCCGGCGGCCAGGAACGAAAACCAGAATCAGATAGGTATGTTATAGAGACACATTTTGCCCTTAGATCTAAGGGGATAATAGGGCTGACAAGCGGTAGACCAGAGATTGTATTTTGTCGTTTTGTGATTTCCCTTCTTCCCTTCTTGGTTTTCTTGATGAGTAAGTCATATATCCCATTTTTACCCTTAGAGCTAATGGAATATGAGGGCTGACCAGTGGTAGAGGAAGTTCTGTTGTCTGTCGTTTGTTTTGTTTTTCAATATATAATATTTTATCCTTTTTATTTTATTATAGCAATGATATTGTGTTTTCTTCCCTCTTTACTTCTCCTCTGTCGATCGTAAAGTTATTCCTTAACTATACGGGGCCATATGCCAAGCTACGCATATAGTATTGGTCTTCGTGGGTAGGCTTAGGCATTGGTCTGAGCCTTTACCTTAGCTCCAGGTCCTGGGTATCACTGTGTCCTACCTATTACGGGGGTTTAGAGAGGTAGCGTAGGGTATACGTGAAGAATACAATAGAACATAAGACTATGTTCTATCTAAGAGGTAAGTTATTCCCTTGTGTCCTAGAGCACTTCCTACGTGATGGTATATCTTGCGGTAGAAGCCGACGCGTGAACACCCGGTAAAGGTTACTGTAAGCACGTATCACGTTCCAGGCGAGTCTCCCATCATGAGGACTAGTGTATGCCGGGCAAAATGACAAGTTGAACCCTTCTTGAGAAGCTGAAGAGTTGGCCTTCGATCGATGAGGTGGAAATTTTGACGTTTGATGCCGTTGTCTTTCCAGGTCGTTGCCTGCCAAGAAAGTGCATATCGGGATAACCATAATCCTAAGCCAAGAATATATCATCAATTACATAAGCCTTTCTAGCTTCAGCGAGACGCGCCAAGCCGACCCAGCTCAGAGTTTATCTCCACTTCAAAGGTCTACATACATAATTGTATGTCACTCAGGGACGGGTAGGTCCATCTAATTTTCTCCAATAGGTGGAATATACACCCAACGCCACACATGTAACATCTTTGTACAACCGAAGGAACACAGTCACAGAAAATGTAAGAAACCAATAACAAATATGGTAACAAGAGAATCATAAATAAAGAGACTGTGCGGCAACAATGTCTCGTTTAATCAGTGTAAGAGATGTTTCAAATTTCGTTTCCAAGTCACTACTTCCCATCACCTTCGCGGCCTGAGCCATCTGCCGCATACATTCTTCAAGGCGTCGGAAAGCCCTGATCAGACTTCCCTCGTAAACTTCGGTCATTTTGCTTCATGGAGATATTAGTCATCTAGCATTAAAACGTTGTGTGAAGGGTAGCCGTGGGAAAAAGCTTACCAGATCTCTGCAAAGGATTTTCCCTTTGCCCACTCGAACATGACTTCCATAAGCTCCCACCGGAAGCTTTTGACATACTCTTCTTCATTCATTGGGAGTTTAGATTCCTGCGAAACCTTGGCAATGATTCTGGCTTGAGCCTGGATATCTCTAAGCGGTTTGGCAAGCTCCTCGTTGGTAATGGCTGGAGTGTCCTTGGCATTTTCCTCAAAAACGAAAACGCTCAATGCGGCTGCACATTGCTCCGGGGTGAGAGTGTTAAAGAAGCCGTTAAATAGCAGTTCGCTAAGCATAAGTTCATCACCACTGCTAATCTCACAGGCAACTCGGGCTTTAAGTTGCACAACCTCATCTTCGTTGATGAATTGGAAACGGCGAAGTACTCGTTTCCGGCATTTCAGTTCGTCCATTTGTATTATTGACATAGCCTCGGTGATTTTCTTCTTTGTATCCTTGATCTTCTTGTTGAGTTCCACTTTTGCAGCATATTGATCGTATAGCTCTGGAAGTCGAGGGGAGCTATGTAGGGGGTTGGATATTAGACGAGACTCCAGAACCTCGATTTTCTACTTTTATATTAGATCAAAGTATTAATGTGGAGGGAGAACATTACATACCCTTAATAACCTCTTGAATGAATCATCCGTGATATTCATATTTTCAATGGGATCAAGGAGAGCCATCCCATCCGGAAATCGTGTCTGTATCTGCGCAATCTGTTTTTTGACATCTTTTCGGCTGTCTTCGGGCTTTAGGTTACCGGGTATTTTGATTTTCACCATGGAAATTGCATGTATACAGTTGAGAAGAACAGGGACAACCTCCATTTTTGAGCTTTCGCCCTTTTTGGCTGCTTTGACACCAGGTGGCAAGGGCTGAACACCTTTTGTTTTTAGAAAAGAGTCCTCTGATACTGGCAGTAGAACATCCACTATATAGCTCTCATGGGGTGGGTACTCTTCACGGGGCGCATTCTTCGGTGGTCTTCGCATTTGGCAATTGACCACTACCGACCATCCGAAATCGTGGTCTTGATATTTAATGTGAACCAGGCGTCCAGGCTTGAGGAATGAAACGCAATAACTGGGATGAGTTATCACGGCTCTCATATCTGATGTGTACGTGTCTATCTTTTGCCGAAGATCATAGTATTCTCGGATTGTGCCTTCGTCTGCGATTACCATAGCACCTCTGGAATTTTCAAGCTCGGCAAGTTCTAGTATAGTTAGCAAAGAGTGGCCATAGCAGGTCCGAAACATTTCCGAAAAACATTGCTCTTACCCTTTTCTAGGCCAGAAACACTGGCCGTGTTCTGGAACTGATAGAAACATCGTTCAAGCATAAACTCGGGTGATATTCCCTCCACTCTAAGAAGATTGAGGATCATATTATAACCTAAATGGAAAGCCGAGTTAAGCTTGTCTTGCTCTCCACGCACTATCTCCTTGGCAACAGCAGGATCCATCTCTTCATCAATCATCATGATCACAAGGCCACGGTCGTCAAGACCACGACGACCTGCACGCCCTGACATCTGGACAAATTCTGAAGATGTAATCCACCTTGAGCTGACGCCATCAAACTTGCGGACGTTTGTAAAGACGACGGTCTTAGCAGGCATGTTAAGACCAATAGAAAATGTTTCAGTGGCAAAAAGAACTTTGATAAGCCCTTCTTGGAAGAGAATTTCAATGGTCTCCTTGAGGATTGGTAACAACCCTGAGTGATGAACACCAATTCCGCGTCGAAGGAGGGGCAGTATATTTTGAATCTGAACGAGATCACGGTCTTCTTCTGACAGAATCTCTATGGCGCTGTTAAAGACCTTGGTAACCATCTCCTTCTCAGAGTTGTCATTGAAAGCTAATTTGCTCATCTGCAGAGCAAAGGCTTCACATTCTCGTTTGCTGAAGCTGAACACGATAACTGGGTGATAATTTTTAATCATGATCATCTTGACAATCTTGTAAATGTCCGAAAGTCCGTTCTTATCTCCTCCTTTATTTGTCTTTTTGTCTTTCCCTTTCCCTTTCCTTTTCGCCATGGCATCCGCGGGGTCGGCTCCCTGCCTTTCTGCAATGGAGCTCATGGCCTTTTGGAAGTTCTCCTCGCGGAAAACGCCCTTCTCATCAACAACAAGGTGTATGCCTTCGGCGCCTGCGGGGAAAAGATAATGTTGAAGAGGGGTCGGACGGAAATCAGTGTATACAACGTGGCATGGTTGGTTGTGCATTTTGGTAATCCATTCTGCGAACTGCATCGCATTTGGAATTGTTGCCGAAAGGAATACATATCTAACTTTATCCGGCAGTAGGATAATTGTTTCCTCCCACACAACTCCTCGGGCTTTATGGAAGGTTAGTACTCTTGTAGGTGGAGTCCAGATCAATAACTAGAGCTTACTTTTATCACGCATATAATGGATCTCATCAAAGACTACCCAAGCAACCTCACGCATGATCTCTGAGCCCCGGTATAACATGGATCGCAAAATCTAAAATTATGTATCAGTGCCAGAACTCAGCTTATTACTTCCAAGTCAATCTTACCTCTGTAGTCATGACAAGACAGGTAGCGGTTGGATTGATTGTTACGTCACCAGTCATCAGTCCAACATCACCAAACTCTGCCGCAAATTCTCTGTATTTCTGGTTGCTCAATGCCTTTATAGGACTTGTGTAGATAACCCTTTGGTTGTTCCTCAGGCATTGCGCAATGGCATATTCCGCAACCACAGTCTTTCCCGCACTAGTATGCGCGGAGACGAGGACACTTTCTTCTCGCTCAATGGATGCAATTGAGACTTGCTGGAAAGGATCGAGGGTGAATGACCATACTCGCGCCGGTTTCTCTGGCGGTTTATGTTGTGAGATCGGAACGTATTCATATCCTGCGGGCAGAGCAACTTGATGTCGTACTTGATGGGATAACACGACAGCTTTCCCATCCTGCGGACCCTGAAATCCAGCGGACGCGGCAACTTCACGAGACTGTTCTGTTTCAAAGGTATCTGCAACAACGGGTTCCGGTTCCTGGTCAACTCGCAGGCGTTTTATATCCGGCTGGTCCTCCTGCGCTTCAGCATCCTGCGCATCACTCTTGTCACCCACAGCATCGAGAGCCTCTGGCGACTCGGCTCCATTGGTTGTATCTGCGTCTACCTTGGCATCTCCATTCGCTCGTCTCTTCTTATTCCTAGCTTTTCGGGGTTTGGGAGGCTGGTTGGCAGCAGTGCTCGAGGTCGGTTTGTCCTCGAACACGTCGAATAAGTCATCCATCGTGTCAGATGCCCACGGTGTCTTTGCCGATAAGGTCTGTACAGCTCTCTCTGCCCCCTCTTCCTCACTTGCGGCAACACAGCTTCTCTTTTTTATACTGGAATAATTTTGGGAATATTTAGAAAGCTTAAAATACTTTTCGGGAAATATTTCTCCGTTTATCCGGCTTACTCATCATACTCTCACGTGATGAAATGTTGCTTTTCTTGGAAAATCGTTCGATTGTTTGAAGCTCGCCAAAAGATCATTCGAAAACCTCCCAAAAGACGTCTTGAACACGACTCCAACACCGCTAACAGTCAAGGTACGCTGTCAATTCCTGCTACAAAAGACAGATATTTAGCTGATGTCGTGCAGATGTTCGCCCGATCCGCCTTCCGCGCCAACACGGCCGCCTCCATCATCGGACGTCGAGGCTTCCACTCAACTCGCTCGCAGCTTGGCTCTGGCTTCCACTACCCGGAGGGCCCTCGCTCCAACATCCCATTCAACCCATTGACCAAGTTTTTCTTCGTTAGATACTGGGCCTTCATGGGTTAGCCTCCCTGATTGTGTCTTCCACATGACCTTTTTGGAATGAGAACTTGACTAACGGCTTGACCAGCTACCGGGTTCGCTCTTCCATTCGCCATTGCTGGTAGGTGTCTTCACAAATCTTTTGATACATACTTTCAGGCTGCTAACCAATGGTGTTTTCAATTAGTCTGGCAAACGAAGAAGTCTCGTTAATCGCATCCCTCCCTACTTGTCCTTTCACTCCGAATCCCAGGATCTCTCGATACCCACCGAAGAATGGGAGGCTCGGAACAACTAGTCAGCTTGTACAAAGATTAAATCTAAATCAAACATTGTATTACTTCCAAATTTATTTTATTTCCTACATTCATACGCATAACATACCTCGTTGCGTGTAGTTGACTTCTCGGGCTACGCCGTTTTTGTAGACTTTGATGCCTTTGGAGATGAAATCATTGGTTGAATTTCCTTTTGACATAAAAAGTAAAAATTTCCCTGCGACCACAAACCAAACAACACCAGCTATAGAAATGTCAAATAACCAAGTCTAAAGGCCCTCCAGCATGATTACGTGCGTGATACCGATTGCTGAATGGTAAATATTTGCTTCCAAACACGATGCGCAACCTCAGGAATATACGGTTCTCGGAAATCCCACTTCTAGGTGGGCTGCCGTTGGCCGCCACTGCGTGGGATGTCACAACAGATTCGTTGATATGCGCATTTGGCCCTGCGGAGGATAATGCAGTGATCGAGCTGAAAAGAAAGTCGCAGCATGAAGATGTCTCCCCTGGGTCGCTGCCGGGGGACATGGCTCTCATTGCCTCCTGGGATGCGCCTTGCCCAAACCCAGACATGAAATGTGATCGCATATTGTCCTTACAGTACTTCCCGGACACCCTGATAATATGTTTAGTTCTGGAGGGTGGAGATATCATCATCGTACGCGAAGAGCCCCAGCCGGGGGAGGACAAGATTGAAATTGTTGGCAGTGTTGATGCCGGTATCTCTGGAGCTGCTTGGTCTCCCGATGAGGAGCTACTGGCTATCTCTACAAAGGCGAATACACTACTTTATATGACTAGAGACTTTGAAGGAACCGCAGATATTGCCCTCAGCCAGGAGGACCTCAAAATCTCACAACATGTATCCGTGGGCTGGGGAAAAAAAGAGACTCAGTTCCAAGGGAAGAGAGCAAAGGCACTTCGTGACCCAACGATGCCAGAAAAAGTTGATGAGGGAAAATTAAGCGAATTTGATGATGGGAAGACTACCCTCAGCTGGAGAGGCGACGGTGCATATCTTGCTCTTAATAGCATTGAGACCGGGGTCCGTCGAGTTATCCGCGTGTTTTCCCGAGAAGGTACACTGGATAGTGTGAGCGAACCTGTGGACGGTCTTGAGGGTGCTCTGAGCTGGCGTCCATCTGGAAATCTTATTGCTGGGATCCAGCGCCTTGATAATAGAATCGATGTCGTTTTTTTCGAAAGAAACGGTTTACGACATGGACAGTTTACCCTCAGATTAACGGAAGAGGAGCGGCTAGGCTGGGCATCAAATATCAACCTCACCTGGAATGTCGATTCCACTGTGCTCGCGGTCCAGTTCAAAGATAGGATCCAGCTCTGGACTACAGGAAACTATCACTATTATCTCAAACAAGAAATCCCATTATCAATCGACGGGGCATCATCGCTCTGTACATTCCGTTGGCACCATGAGAAAGCTATGCGCTTTACCACAAGCTCGCCAAGTAAGTACATACTCTCCTGAGTACTACAATCTTCGATGAAAACCCGAGCAGTACTGGTATTCTAACAACAGCTATAGGCTCACTGGTTGATACTGATTGGATCTTTGAGATGGCAGCTGGCTCAACTATCGCTCCTAATGACTTCGGTTCTGTTGCCGTAATCGATGGACGTATGTTACATATCCTAATTGCTCATTGAAAACAGGGTTATTAACTCGTGAGCCTAGGAACCTTGAAGCTTTCTCCCCTGAAAGTTGCGACAGTGCCTCCTCCAATGGCACTTTGTGAACTTTCCCATGATTCCAATGTTATAGACGTGGCATTCAGCAAGACAAGTACAAAAATGGCAATTCTAAGTGCTGCTTCATTTGCAATATACTCGTGGAACCTTCAATCCACCTCTCCTCTTGAGGCAACACTTTGCTCATCACATGCTATACCTCAATCCAGGCGCCCAAGGCATATTGCTTTCCTTGGGGAAAATGATATTTATGTCGTAACGCAAGATGAATTTGGCGGGGAGGTTATCGAATGGACAGATCTACAGACAAATGATACAAAAGTTGTCTTCCTTCCTGAAGAGACAGTCCACATATCCTCAATATTCGAAGATTCCGAGCAAGAGAAGCTTTGGATTGCCCAGATTTCCCAGAATAAAAAAGCTAGAAGTTATAGCTTTATTCGAAACAGAGCGGAAGGCTCTTCCGCTGTATCGTGGCATGATAGTCCTGCAACTGACACCAGCTGGGCTCGCGCCATCCAGCTACCAAGTGGGGATGTGAGTAATAAAGTCTGGAGTATTCCGATATTTATACTAATGCTGTATTAGGATATCCTGTTCACGCTCTCTCGCTCCGGAGTTCTATATGCCAATAAGCGCTTACTAGTCAAGGGTGTTACCTCATTCTTACTGACTTCTGCCCACCTTATTTACACCACTGCACAACATTTGCTCAAATTTGTTCACATTGCTAACGTTGATGGTAGATAAAACACTTGCCCCATTATATGTATGAGAAGTGGCTAACCTTTTTTGCAGACCTTGAGACGCCAGGGGACACTCCAGAAGAAGACGAGAGATGCCGAAGTGTCGAACGTGGAGCAAGATTGGTCACTGCTATGCCCTCAAAGCTTTGTCTAACCCTACAGATGCCACGAGGGAATATAGAGACAATATACCCTCGAGCCTTCGTCTTGGCAGGTATTCGTGGCTATATCGAAAACAAGAAATACAAATCTGCATATCTAGTGTGTAGGTCACAGATGGTTGACATGAACATTCTTTACGACTACATGCCTGAGCAGTTTTTGGAAAATATACCTTTGTTTCTTGATCAGGTGAAAAAGGTCGAATTCATTGACGAGTTCCTATCTCGGCTGAAGTAAGCCAAACCCACATCTACCACAGTACATGACTTTTTCTCCTAACCCTATCCAACTATAGGAACGAAGATGTGACAAAAACATTATATAAAGATACCCTTAAGCTCTCTCAGCCAACAGAAGCCACTAGCGGAAACATTCCGGGTCTAAATAATGCACCGATTACCTCCTTCGGTGCGGCCAGGACCGAGAGTAAAGTGAACAAGATTTGTGATGCTTTTATAACTGTCCTTTCCAGTAGAATTGACACCAACTTACAAAACCTTGTGACCTCACACGTTTGCAAGTCTCCGCCAGATCTCGATGCTGGTCTTAGCCTTGTTGCAAAATTACGTGGTATGTTAACCTTATTCCATCCGCATTTGCAAGTTCTAATGGTGTTGGAGCAGAACAGAGCGCAGAGCAAGCAGAGGAAGCCGTAGAGCATATGTGTTTCCTTACTGATGCCCATCAGCTGTTCAACTACGCACTCGGCCTATACGACCTAGAACTCACGCTGATGGTTGCTCAGCAGGCACAAAGGGTTAGAGAATACATAGCCTGGAATAACTGAAAAGCCGCAATACTGACACTATGATAGGATCCAAGGGAATACCTTCCCTTCCTCCAAAAGCTTCAGGGTGTCTCCGAGCTTCAGCGTAAGTATGAGATTGACAATCACCTTGGCCGTTTTGCCAAGGCATTAAAGAGTCTCCATGCATTGGGCTCTTATGACGACCTTAAACTGTACACGATCAAGCATAGCCTTTATAAAGATGCGCTGGAATTGTATAAGTATCAGCCAGATCTTCTGCATGATATGACTAAATTACATGCGGATTACTTGTATGACCAGTCAAATCATAAAGAAGCTGCTATTGGTGAGACATACCTTTTCCTCTCTATAGTTGGAATTTTGGTTCATACCCTAACTTGATATACCTACAGCTTACGAATCTCTTGGAATGTTCAAACCTGCTTATGAATCATACAAGCTGGCACACATGTGGCAAGAATGCCTTTTCTGTGCAGCCTTAGTTCCATTATCAGAAACCGATATGAAGGAATTAGCGACGTCCCTCGCCGCCACTCTCACAGACGAAAGCAAAGACTATGTCTCCGCTGCACGTATTCAATCAGACTATCTTCATGACATCCCTAATGCAGCACGTCTGCTCTGTAAAGGAGCACAATTTGGCGATGCCTGCAGGCTACTTGTCCTGCACGGCCATCAAAACCAAGTCACCGAGATCGTTGATAATGGCCTTGCAGAAGCAATGGGAACCATGACGGAACTTTTAGCCGATTGCAGAAGCCAATTGCAAGCCCAAGTTCCACGGATCCAGGAGCTACGTGCTAAACGTGCTGCTGATCCTCTCGGGTTTTATGGCGGTGATCCGACCGGTGCCAGTGCCGGGGATGTAGATATCCCTGACAACATTTCTCTCGCCCCGACTGATGCGAGTACTATGGCTGGCAGAAGTTTGTTTACCAGATATACTGGGGGAAGCAGTACATCGCGAGCCAGTAGCCGAATGAGGAAGAGAGAGGAGCGCAGGCGGGCCAAAGGGAAAAAGGGCACGGTTTATGAAGAGGAGTACCTTGTCAACAGCGTAAGGCGGTTGATTGAGAAGGTGAATAGCTCGATTGAAGAAGTGGAGGCACTTGTTCAGGCAATGCTAAGGAGAAGAATGCGTGAACGAGCTGCGGTGGTGGAGAGGAACCTTGATGAGGTTTTGAGTATGTGTAGGGATTGCTTGGGTGAAGTCTTTGAGACTCCTATGGAAACCAACTTGGATTCACAAGCTAAGGAAGACAGCGAACCTTCTGCCGGGGTGATTTCAAGTGGGGAGCGTGTCTACCTGGAGAGTATGGAAGCCCTCAGTGGCAAGGGGAGAGAACCACCTATTGTAAAAGCATTTAAGAAGCTGTCCCTGCTCGGTGGTTAAATGTTCCAGGTGGGCGAAGTGCAATGTATATACGGTTTCTCTTTGTACGTTATACCGCATATCAAGGAAAAGTAAAATGTTTTGGTATATACCTTCCTCAATTACTATATATGTTTAATTTTTTGGTTAAAATATTACCAACGGGAATCATGATAGTGAGACTGCAGCACACTATGCAGCAGTAACCAAAATTTCTCCGGACTCGCTAACAAGGTGTTCTTTCTTGCTAATTGGGCCACCGCCAACACCAGTCAAGAACACTCTTCCTACGCCCTTTGCCAGCAGCTCCGCAGCCCGAGAGTCTACAGACTGTTGGAGCGAGCTTGTGTTTTTAAAGTTTGATGATTCCCATCCTTCAGTCGCGGAGGTGAGAATGGACTTGAAGGTTCCCAATACACAGTCAGTGTCCTTTTCGAGGTAATATATAACCGCATTAGGACCAGCATCAAATGTGTAGGCACAAACGGAACGTCCAGCTGCACGGTTTATGTCATGGACGGCCCTGATTGCAGCACGGGAGGTGTCGTTCAAGTAAAATGTTGGTGGCCAGGTATCCAAGTTCGTAGCATGGAAACCGTTGCTGTCTCTCATCGTGATTTCGGCAAAGCTCTCGAAGTTGCGCTCCTGAATGGACTTCTCAATTGCTGTCATACGTTCCGGCACGATAGATTGAGCACGGCTTGGGAACAAAGTCGACGTAGCGACGGTCAGCTGCATCCCTTCTGTACTTGGTACCTCTTTTTGTGCACCACTGACAACCAGGATAAGGGCTCTCATTTCAGGCCAATGGCTCTCGGGAGCAACTTGCTCTGCAATACTGTCACTTCCATCTTCCTTCTCACCTGCTCTCCAAGCAACGTATCCGCCCATCAACGATCGACAGGCAGAGCCAGACCCCTTACGGGCTATTTTACTCAATTCACTGGCTGATTGAGGTAACTGGTATAGGTCTGCAACAGCCCGTACGAGAGCGGCAAATCCTGCAGCAGAGCTGGCCAGCCCTGCTGCCGTGGGGAAGTTATTTTCAGACACAATGCGGAGGGGGTAGGCGGAGAGCTTGGGGAGGGACTGATTCGAGGATTCCATTTGTCGTCTGAGAGATCGTAGATCTGCAAGACAAGCAAGAGTTCGTGGTGAGCCTTGGATGCTATGTGGCTTGTTGTTGAGAGTGAGCGTGTCGCCGTCCGCGCTAGGATATCTCGCGGAGCATGATGCAGTGGTGTATGCGCGAAGAGAGCTCTGGGACAAGGTCACTGAGAGGGAGGAGTTTGTAGGTAGATTGAGAGTAGCATCTCTTTTTCCCCAGTATCTATATAGCAAGTAGAAAATAGTCAGAGGAATAAGTTCCTTGGGCAGTCTCAATCCAACAACACCCCCTTTTTAGCTTACTTTATGACTGCAATATTTACCGGCGCTGTAGAGCTCGCACGGTAGACTGTCTGCTCGGCCATCTTCGATCTTCCAACTGTCCAGAGATTGTATACTGCGAGTGGAAAAGAAAACTTGGGGAAGAAGCTGAAGTGGTGAAGTTGTATGGGTTTTTGATGCTTTTTGTTTTGGCGGGGTTGAAGGAAGAAGCTCGGAGGGATTATAAAATCCAACGAATCGGTCACTTGCACGCCGACTTTCTATAATATTATTTATTGATTTAATAACATGTCTGTAGAGACCACAGGGTGATTTTAGATGGAGATATAATTAACCCAGAGAAGAAGATATTTGATCTAGATAGTACAATGGGAATTACTTTACGGTTCTACGAGGCACACATGGACGGCATCTCCATATAATCACATATTTCATAATAACGCACATTAAGGAAGAATCAACAATTTTTTTTTCTGAAAGTGCTGATACTGTTGTGAGGTTTTGCTTCAACTGCTCTTGCGCCTATGGCACTCGTCGCCCTGATATGGCCTATGCAAATTCAGACTGGATTCTCGGGAGGCTCAATGTATAACCCGCCGGTCGAGATATTGGAGCCAGACACCGTGGGATATTTCTCTCGCGGACGTCAGGGCTCGATTCTGGCGGAATATGGTGAAGACCCATTAGGATAGTACTTTCGGTAGAAGATAATATTGAGTGCTTCCTATCGTTTTACAGGTGTTGAGGAAAACCTGATAAATGCAAACCAAGCGTTCCCCTTATTAGTATCGTAGGCGGCGGAATATTAAGTATTGACTGGTCCATGGAGATCACATCTCTTGCTCTTCCGACATCTGCTCTCTCTCGGCGATGCACTGCTCCCATGATTCTATAGGAACAATGTCTTGTCTGCTGGTATAGGTGGCAGTAGTATATTGAAATATATCCATGATAACTGCATCCCCCGTTCCCGCAAGATTCTAAACCACTAGACAACCGGCTCTCCGTAGGGTGATCATATCACCGCGGCGATGAAGCCGATGACCGGAGTAACGAAGGCCATCAGCCTTGCAGCAATTATTCAACCACTCTCTCCAGGCGTCACTTTTGCAGTGGAAGAACCCTGGGCAGTCATCAGTGTGTCTGACATTTAAACATACACAGGCAACTAGGTACCCAGCTTCCTTTCCTTTGACACTGATGGGTGCACTATTTGAATGGAGATTTAAGTAAGATTAGGTGGGTATTTAGGTAGTCCTAAAAGCTCCTTAGAGTTGCTCGAGCAGTATCGATATATCTCCTCTACATAAGAGATTAGAGAAGGGCGGGATCATTAGATAGGTTTCCTGGATCACCTGAAGGGACGTTCTCTTCGTGAGTCAACTATTCTGGCGGCTATTTAACGATTCCAATTAATATAATTGCAGAAGGTGTTGGTTAACGTTAGGGGTATCGAGGACTCTTGGAGAGCGGGTGCTTAAGTACGCTATATTGATGAAAAAATGAGTGACCGGTCTTATTAACTGGTTCTGACTTCACTCTCTAGACAGTGACTCCTAGTGTACTCTAAGTTCTAGCAATATGTTAACCTCGTTGGCATCACCACTCTAAACCTCTCACAGATCGTAGCCTAAGAGCTCTGTATTGAATAAGGGCTTTCTTTGGCTTATGAAGACCACTACTATGTTACGTTGCCGCTTGACATGGTAGTACATGGTATCATCTCACATTCATACATTAGAATAACAGCCAAAGGGTGGCTTTTGACTTGAGCGTAGTAGAACATAGAAAGAGAATATCAAATAGGAACAAGTCGATTTTTGCATGGTTGGAATTAGCTGTGTCACATGATCCAAGGTTCTCTTTAACTTAGCTAGCTACAACCGATGAAGATATTGATTGATATTTCGTCGTTAAATTTAGGGCAAAGTGGTTTGACGTCTCCTGATATCAAGCGTTTGCAGCCATACCCTACAGATAAAGCTTCCTGGAGATTAATATTGATCATGGGCGCCGGGGCCAGTACGCTGGCTTCACCTCCAGATAACAAACCGGCCGCTGACGGCTGTCCCGTTGACCATAAGACTCGTGAAATCTGGCTGGCTCAGAATAAGGGTGCTTCACCACACGGTCTACCTTCCGAATTCCCTAAAGAACGCCCCTCTAAACTTCAAAGGCCTCTCTCTACCGATCGCGAAGTTAGCAGCATCCCACGCGCAATACACTCCGGCAAGCTAGCATCATCGGGACAATCACCATTTCCCACATCTCCCTACGCGCAGCAATCTTCAGTGAAAGTTGCATCACACGGAATCCCATCTAATGCCGAATCAGAAACAGGTGCTGACGGCAAAACTGGAAATTGGATATATCCGTCTGAACGCCAATTCTTCGATGCTTTGATGCGCAAAAACAACACTCCTTCTTCTACAAAGAATGCTGCCGAGCTAGCTACTTCTGTAGCCTCGATAATACCAATACACAACGCTGTGAATGAACGAGCTTGGTCTGAGATATTAGATTGGGAATCAAAGGGGCCCATGTCAGACCCGGGAAGTTCAAAGTGTGGAGGACCAAAATTATATTCATTCCGCGGGTTAGGAGCTGAGAGTCAATACTTGAGCCCTCGTGCAAGGTGGAATGGGCTGTTGGGCTATCAGCTTCCCTTTGACAGACATGATTGGGTCGTCGAGCGATGCGATGGTGCAAGATTAGAATATGTGATCGATTTCTATCAAGGCAAATCGGATCGGAAAGGTGATGGTGGGAAGCTGAACTTCTTTCTTGATGTTCGGCCGAAACTAAATTCTTGGGAAGGTGTGAGAATGAGAGCTAGCCGGTTTATTGGCCTGTAAAAGCTCCTGAACTTGCATAATAGGTAATAGGACAGAAGGCATCGTGTGTAAGATATATGTAGTATATGTACAAATAAACTTAGATGATTGAACTCCCGTCACGACTCTATCAGAAGTGGCTAGGGTATTAGTATGGCTGCTGAACTCTAGGTCGAGAAATCATCTGAAACAGCCAATATAGTAGGTATCAAGGAACGCAGTAGAAAAACACGCATACGCCGTAATCCCCTCAAGAAACAAGAGAAATATAAAAGATAGTACAAAGCTGAAGAATACTCACTGCCTTGGTATTGGCCAATCATCCGAGTACAACTGCTAACACAATGATAACCAAGATGATTGCCATGATGACTAGGAGGCAGCACATTTTGTTGCGAGCATTCTTCTGGTGTCTGCTCGCAGTTCGAAGTTCCCGCTCTGCCCCTCGCGTATCATCTCTTGTGTTATGAACATTCTCGCTGATTATATCGATTTGGCCGCCTTGCTCCCGGACAATATGACCAACGTCTCGGAACAGCTCGTTAAGCTCCCCGACACTTTGTTCAATATTTCGAATTTCGGTTTCGCGTTCAATAATGAGAGCCTCTTGGAAGTCAACATCATCCTGCGAGGCGAGACGAGGCTGCTCCTGAAGTTGCTGTAGACCCTGGGTTTCCTCGCCTTCAGGGCCAGTGTGAGCAGTAGCCTCCTCTATGGCTGTTCGTGCAGCTGCAGTCGATGCGCGTTGTTTTTCAAGTGCCCGTCGCTGGACAGCTTGAAATTCGTCGAGGGTAGATTTGAATTTAGATGAGAGGTTATCTTGGGTCCATTTTTGGGCAGGCTAACAGCTCCACATCAGTAAGGGCGCAACATTCAATTATCCAGTGTACTATAGACCACTCACAGTGACATCCTCCCAGTTTTGGATCTTCTTGACTCCTTCGCCAGCCTCCCGGAACCCCTCTCTTGTCTCTTCTAATAAGTTGTGCACTCTCTCTCGCGCACGGTCTGTATCACGCTTCGTTCCAAGAAGAGAAATTTGGCTCGATAGCCGGGTGATATTAGATGTCAAAGTGAATAGTTTATTGGAAAGAAATTCCGTCAAGCGTTGAAACTCTGGATCATCATGATATTGGGAGTCTGCTTGGCGCCTGCCCGACGGCTGGGCTTCCAGTGACGACAACCTGTCAAATGACATCCCAACAGAGGTAGTAAACCAGGGTACGAGTTCAAAAACAGAATGAGTAATAGAGAATGAGATCTAGAAGTGTATCCGATAGTAGGAGTGAGTGATGTAGGCTTGTTGATTGATGATGATGGAGCTGGAACGGAAAGCGTCATTCGCCCGGGATTACTAAGTCAGGTGATGAGCATTTAACTTATATTGTAAATGGAAGGTTTTCCGCCGCTTGACCTTCCTTTCTTGGGAGAGACTCCACTTCTTAGTCTCACTAACAAGCGCTCCTTGCCGCCAAACGCGATAACTTACCAACAAACTTGATGTCAAAGTCTGCGATTCGGCCAAAAAGGCGAGCCTGCGCTGATTGGCGGCAGTGACACTTATCACTCGTTAAATTGATTTTATAGGATCTCTGGCATTTTCTTTGGGTGATGGAGCTATCAAAATGTAGGGTTGATCGTTTATAAACAGCTATCGCTGCTTTTTTTCTAGTTGCCTAGTATGTCTAGGCTTAAAATGCGCTTCCCAAAATCTTTAGCATATTCAAATGGAACATCACTACTTGACTTTAAACTCAGGCACAGCTCTCAGGTGGAGTTAATGAACAGCATAAAGAGCATAGAGGATAGCCATGGCAGTGAAACCTATATTCGCCACGCACCGTGGTATATTAGCGTCGAGAGACACTACAGGACTCATTGCTGTATTCTTTGTAAGCCTACTGGCATTGACTTGAGTGGCTTCAGGATAACAATATCCTTCTTGGAATAGTTCATTAATCGATGCTCTCACAACTTGAACAAGATCAGATCTACTATCCAGTATCTAGAAAGTGAAGAACCTTTATTTATATATGCCGCGTGAGATGCCCATAACATAGGGGCTATCAGTTCTTTCGGGTATGGCCCGAGGTGTAGAAACCAATCAAAAAGGTATCATCTAAGTAAGTACCCATCGCGTACCAGTATTCCACTAGTTGGTGCTCGAACATCGCGGGAAATATCAGTTCTTGACTGGTCAAAACCGCTCTAGCCATAAGTAAAGCCTATAGGCAGGGAGTGAACCCTTCTATTTCCATCTGCTTCTGTAGATTGCTATTAATTTTACCAAATAGTGTACATAGGATACTGAATATTTTCAGGAAGATGCAGCATGTTTGTAGAAGGAAGCGCGTTTAGGCGCGAAAACGCAAAATATTTACTATCACGTGACTAACTTTTGAACTATCATCACTTTTGAAAATGTGAAGCTGCCTGAAAACGAAGCTTGTTAGTTGAATCCATCCTTGGATTAACGTCTTTACATATACCTACACTCCTTAATTGATCTATGTGGGCATCCCAAAGCAGCTATCTACAGCTAGCCTTTCAACTTCCTCACATTCAGATCATTTCCTAGCAATGCGATAACCACCAACCGCCTTCTGCGAGAAGCTCTCTTATCATCCCACACCATGGCAACGCCTGTCAAGTCAAGGCCGTATAGGCGCATATTAACGTCTACGCTACATAGAAGATTTGTGCATGCTTCAGCATTTGCGCTTCTGGCGTGTTACGTTATTTCTTTTTTTATCGGGACGAAGTCTTCCTGTAAGCTAGTCAACAATAACATTGCAAACAAGAGCACATACTAATCACTACTACTCAGTATTTTGGTCATGGTTTCCTGTCGGTCCTTGCGGAATTCGAGCTTTACTTCTTTTTGTCTCAGGATTATGTGTTTTTATACTACGAGTCGGCCAGATGCACGTCGGTGCGCGAATCGCTACGTCCCATTTTCACAATTTCAGGCTTTCTGCCCTGTCCTTTACTTGCATACAAACCGTCATCTGGTATCTTTTTTCTGCATGGTGGTTCAGCGAGGTTTATAAATGGTCCTCCCCGGCGGATGCTAAATTAAACTGGGTGAATCCCGGAAAGTAAGTGATGTGTGTAATCATCTCCGAGTAGATTGAGAATCTAATAGTCCGTGAAAATAGATCATACGAGCGGTCACAGCTAAATGAACGACCAATATACCTTCACTCTTTTTTCATCATGCTGGCCCTAATCCAGTCCTCACAACACCTCTACTTCGATTGGGATGAGGTTCCTGTTCCAGTCGCAAAGCGAAACCCCCTAACGACCAGTCAAAGAACACATCGCCTAGCTCCGCTCTCTACGCAGTTCAATAACATTGCCCTAGACATCATACGTGAGTCGGTTATTATCGCGTTTATAACCACTTTTGTCGGTCCGATAATCTATATGTTTATTTTCCGCCGGACGGCCTGGAACTGGACACTTCACTTTGCGAAACTATTTTGGGACTTCCCTCGATCCGCTGCTGATCCACCAGGCCTTATGCCACCCATTCATTTTTTAATGCTGTATCAGTGCATGACATCTGGCTCTATGCTAGTTATTCTATGGAAGATATCAAACTTTCTCTTCTCAGCATTCCTAGGCCAAGCACCGTTGAAGAAAGGTCAACCACTAACAAGCGGTGCAGCGGATCCTAATGGAAGCCTTATCAATGGGCTCAAATCTAAAAAAGGGACGGTTTTAGCATTTGCATTCTGGGAGCTTTGCCTAATTAGCCAGGAATTCCCAGATAGGCGAAAGGAGATATTCAAGGATATTGATAGGAACGGAGGTTCCGCATGGAATCAGATACTCAAGGCGTCAGAAGAAGTAATCAAGGGTATTACAACGAGAATACATGAATTCCAAACCCCTCAGCCACAAGCCACTACCGCTGCGGGTGGCCAAAAAGAACCCGCACCAAACACCCCGGAGATGGTGCAAACATTACCTCGAATCACACAGCCATCTAAAAACGAAAATATTCTTCTTGCTTCACCAAAACCTGGTACAAGGACAGAAAAATTTGAGGCTGCTTTTGGTCCCATTGCTAAATCCTATGGTCAATCCCAAGATTGGACACCTGCAGCAAAGGCCAAAGCTCGTGCAGCTATGGATCGCGCCTCCAATGTTCTCTTAAGCCCAGAGCAAAAGCGCACATTATCGAACTCGGCACAAGAGCTGAAACTCCTAACGAGCCCTTCAGGTGCAAGCGGCTCCCCTAACCCCATAATACAACATATTATGCGATCTCCGCTCGGGTTTCCCTTTAGGCAGCCATTTTCCAACCGCCTACGAGGGATTGTACTGGGTTCCCCGAACTCCAAACTCGCAGCTATTGTTGATGCTACGGAGTCTCTTAAATGCCTGCTTATAGCAAGTTTGGAAGAGGATCAATTCGGTAGAGTCCAGGCCGACGTGCCTTCCGTGGTTAAGCTGTTCACCCAAACGATCATAGCGCTCGAGTCATTCGTTGGCAAGGATGGACTGCAGCCCCATTGGAGCGATGTTGATTTAGCAAGCCCTGGCGGAGAGGAGAATTTTCGATCTGTAGAACAGGTTGAGATCGTGATTAGTACTCTTAAAAATGGGTTATCAGAGCTCCTGGGTGCTTTCAGCCTGTATTTGAACGAGGTTGGAGTTGTAGGACGGGATTTACAACAGGCTCGAGAAGCAGCGAGGATAACCGATGTATGAAAAGAGAGCAATGCCTTCTCTTCATTATCTTACATAATAGACATGTTACTGGTTTATCATCTTAACTCTTCAGTCCACGTAGAAATTTTTATCTATACGTTAGTCAATACATGCCTTGACGTCTCAACCTTTGCGAGCAGTTTGCAACTGGATGCACCAGAAAGATAAAGAAAACAAAAAAATCTGCTTAATACAGCAGGGGCGGTTAAAGATCGATTAAAGATCGATTAAAGATCGATTAAAGATCGATTAAAGATCGATTAAAGTAATGAGGTGAGTAGTTGTGGAGTTCAAACTAATATAGACATAGAGAAGAGTAATCACCTAGGAGTGGAAGAAAGGGGAAGACATCACAACACTGCATTCCCAGCAGCGCGTAATAGCCATCTCAAATCATTTGTCCATCCCCCTTGTGCGGGGGCCACCTCTAGCGCGGATGATAAAATCTCCGTGTCAGGATTTGTGCCTTCACTAACGTCGGTCCCAGCGTTAGACACAGTTTCCAACTGATCCCTTGGGTCTAAGTCAATCTCTGCCCGTGTATTGCCTTCGGTACTGAAGGTGGTCCGCTGGCCTGGCCGGTGCGAATTACCTAGGGTAGGTGGTTGGACTGATTCATCCTCAGGACCAAATACAGTCCATTCAACCAGCCTATCTATCCATGAACCTAAACCAAAACCACGTTCACGAGTAAGGCGATGCACTTCGGCTTCGCTAACAGCTTCATCTTCAGAATCATCATCTGAATCCAAATCATAATTATAATACTCCTGGTAAGACACTGGCATTGAGTCGGGTTCTGCTCCACCACGGCTTGCGGCGCTATCGTCCGTAGGAGAATGGGTCTGCAAAGCGGCTAATTCTTCTCTTATTGACTCGTCCAAAAAATCAGGAACTAGTCCAGGGATATCCCTAGACCGTGGGGTTACAGCGCCGGAATGGAGATGTTGTCCTGTGGAGCAAGATGGTGTCATAGCAAGGTCAACTCGACTGGATCGTTTGCTTCCCGCATGAGAGTTTGAGCCCCTCCTCGACCTAGCAAGAGGGGTTGATACTCCTGACCGACGTCCTTGAAATTCACGTCTGCCGCGGCTATGGCTCTTCTGTCCATCCTCATTATGTGAAACAAGGCTGGTCGAACTTTCACGCTTGACCAACCATGACTGACCCTTTTCTTCACGGGTTGATGATGCCAGTGCCAGACCGGTCCTCAGTAACCATTCATTATCCTGGATTCGCGGTGTGGATATCCCGCTGGCCCCCATCTTTCTGCTTCGGGGGTTATAGCTTCTAGATCGCTGGTGATGGCGTGGTTGCTGATGATGCAGTGGTCCTGCAACATCAAGGGCATATAAGTGTGATTCACTCATCGGCATTCCTTGAGATGTTTTCTTCCTCTTCGTAAGATTTGCCTGGGACACGTTTCGTGACTGAGACAAAAGCGACGGAGTTACAGGCACTGAGATGCTTGAGAGATAGGAGCTGCTTATCGCGTGAGATTGATAAGTATTGCGATCAGGGCCTACTCCGCCGCTACCCTGATTTATGGAGGAAAAGTAGCCCCCATCCTCGGTATCATCGTCGAGAGGAAACCGAGAACTCAAGGGTGCCAAAGAGATATGTTGTAACGATGTGTGAGAGCGGCGGGAGCGGAACCCTTGAGAGTCAGAGCGGTATAATGACTGTCCGAAAGTGTTAAATACTCTTATACAGTGAACAGTACAGGGGCATCACGAACCTCCATTTTGCAGCACGAAGGTGGTCAGTTTTCAGAGCTCCTCTCGAGCAACCAAAAGAGCTCTGCTCGATCTTTTAGCCAATTAGCCAGGTAAAATTGTAAATTGTCAACCTGTTTTCCACGTAGCTGCGACTTGTCTGGTCGATATAAAAGTGATAATGAGGTGAAGCTTGCTGTTCAGGAACTTCAATCCATCCAGTGTGGAGGTAGCATTTAGGCGCTAAACCCGAAAGGGCGAACCCCATAATCTAACGCACGGACCGTTGATCATTATCGATAAGAGGGAAAAGCACGTGAAAATGGATATTATGTATCGGGGCAGACGATAAGAAATAGAGAGTGAAATATAGAAGTAATAAAGGGAATTAAAGATTACAGATGGAAGATGTTACTACCATCTATGCCCTTTTAGTATAAGACAGCTTACTAGAATAAACGCTCAAGAAACCCATTTTGAAAGAGACTACGTAGCGCGCTCAGACGATTTGTCCTTTCTGAACAACAAATGCTTGGATAGCCGATATCGCAGCCCAGAGCCGGTTCTCAGCTTCCGGGAATACAAGGGACCTCTCTCCATAAAAGACCTCGTCGCTGACCTCCTCGGGATGCCGTGGCAAGCAGTGCATGAAACGCCAGCCTTTGTTCGCTCCTCCACGGCTCGCAAGCTCGCTGGTAACCTGAAACCCTTCAAATGATTTCAATCGTTGTAGTTTCTCCTCCTCTTGCCCCATCGATACCCAGGTATCAGTCACAATCACATCTGCCTTCTTGACCGCCTCTTCGGGGGAGTAGGTTTGAATGAGGGCGCCGGGGCTTCTAACGCCGTTTCCGGCATTCTTGACAAGGTCAACGATGTGAGAGGGCATCTCATAACCCTTAGGGGTGGCGACGGCGATATCTATTCCCATTTTAGTGGCTCCAATGGCGAGGTCGAATAGCACATTGTTTGCATCCCCAACCCAGGCGATCTTCAACCCTTCCAGCCCTAGAGAAGACGATACAGGCTGACTTGAAGTTGCTTGAGGAGCAAAGTGTTCTTTTATCGTAATAAAATCGGCTATGGTTTGTAGTGGATGGAAAGTGTCACACAGAGCATTTATCACCGGGACAGTCGAGTGCTTGGCAATATTGGCGACATCGGAATGTGGCCCAACACGGGCAACAATACATGATACCATGGAAGAGAGGACGACAGAGGTATCGTAGAGAGACTCATTGACACCTAATTGGATATCATCTTTCCCGAGAAACATCGGATGACCTCCCATTCGCGTCACCGCCCCTTCGGTAGAAACTCTGGTCCGTGTGCTTCGCTTGTTGAAGACCATTGCAACCGTCTGGCCTGAGAGTGCGCCCGCGAGGGAATTAGGGATAGAGCCAGACTTAACTGCCTGTTTATGTGACAAGCCATTTCGAACTAGAGCGGTGAACTCGGCTGGAGTAAGATTTGATATCGAGAGGAGATGTCTTGGTGGCGTAGTTGAAGGAGTGGTGTACCGCCGGCACCGCAGCTTTGCCACATGTCCGATACATCGAGTTCGAAGGATGGAATGCATCTTTTGATTTTCCAAGTGAGTCAATGGCAACAGGCAAGGAATCGAAGCTCCAGTTTTACTGCAGGGGCGAGAAAAGTCAATATGCCAGGGCAGTAAAGATCAAATGAGTTGCAGCAAAACAGTCACTAAAAGGAACGGCCAATGGACACCATAAGCTTTCCCGCGCTCAGGCTACCGCAGCACTCTTGGTGTTATCTTGTTCTTCTCTCCGTGTGTTGAATACTCTAGGGAGTCATACAAGAGCTAACGGAACTTCCATCAGAGGTACTTACATAATCAGATAAAATGTGGGGTCGAGGTCACGCTTACGCTAACCCGGATAGGTTTAGTGGGAAAGCGCGCGGCTTCTGGGCCCTTTTGTTCCTTGACATCATTTCAGTCAGCCGCCCAAAGACGGATGTGCCAGACGACAAGGAGACCAACGGCCGTCGATGTTGATGGGGAACTCGATCAGATAACACGCACCAGAGGCCGCCGTGCAAGAGTCAAGCAGGATGACCGACGATAGTTCTGCGCCTTTATTAGGGGAATCGCAGTCCTTGCGGCCAACCAACCGCCGGGAGGTTACGGTAAACCACGACAGAGACTTGTCGGAAACAACACCACTACTTGCTCGTAGGCAGGAAGGCCTGCGAGAGGATGAATCTACCGATGGCTCTATCGATTCAGTGACCTGGCAAAAGAATGGCCTGCGATGGCCAACATTTATAGCACTCATCGTTCTGTGCTTATCAGTCATCGCCATTCTTATATTGGGGTTCGCCGCTCCGTCCACCATGAAACAATATGTCCAAGAAGCCACTGTGTTCAAGCCAACTGGCCTGTCTATTACCTCTTTTACTCCATTCGGTGTACAAACGAGAGTCCGAGGCACCCTTGTTATGGATGCATCTCGTGTGAAGAACCCAACTGTCAGGGATTTGGGCCGATTCGGAACATGGATAGGGCATGAGGTTGAATCTCAGGAATCAACAGTAGAAGTATATCTTCCAGAGTATGAAAATGCCTTGCTTGCTACCATTACCCTTCCGCCAATTAAAGTCAATATTCGGAATGGACATCTCAATGAGATCGACTTCATTGCAGAGCTGGCAACAGGAGATCCCAATGGAATCAAGGGAGCTGTTACCGACCTGATTGAGGGCAACATTGCCCAATTAACTCTTAAAGGGATGGCTAATGTCCCGTTGAAATCTGGTCTTTTATATCTGGGATCACAATATATAGCGGAGACTGTGGTGCTTCGAGGTCTGGCTTCCGTTCTTGATATATCCCTTATGTCCATCTCAGGTTTAGGGGAAACTGTGTGAATACTAACGCTATATTCTAGATATCTCCACCCTTCCTGAATTTAATATTACCAAACTGAATATCTACGAACGCCCTGGTCCTGGAAAATCAAAGGCCATTGAAGCAGATGTTTCGGTATCAATCTCAAATCGGTACCCACTCCACCTGACGCTACCACCTTTCGAGTTCAATATACTCGTTCCTAGCTGTACTCCTAATGATGCCTACATTATGGTTGCGAATGCAACAACGGATTCCGTCAATATTGAGCCACGAGAACCGGTAGCCATATCTATGCACGGCTTTGCACCTAAGGTTCCAGACGAGCTTGTCCGTAACTGCCCCGGAACTGCCACATCGCCACTTGGTCTTTTAATTGGCAAATATATACGCGGTCTGGTTACCACGATCTATGTTCGTGGAGGGTCGTTAATCTCTCCAACTATCCCCCAATGGTTACAAGAATTGATAAACAGTGTCACTGTCCCGTTCCCTTTCACGAGTCCTGGGTTTTCGCGATTAATCAAACGCTTCTCAATGACAAATGTCCATTTTTACCTTCCTGATCCGTTTGCGAAGCCAAATACACCCGAGTCTATGCCCAAGGTTTCAGCTTTGGTACAAGCTATCGTTGATTTACCTAGGCAACTAGATGTTCCTGTGAACGTCTCAAGGGTTCGGACCACCGCAAATGTATTCTATCATGACCACAACCTTGGCATTATAGACGTTAAGGAGTGGCAGAATGCTACAGTTCGACGAGTTGTTGATGGCGCGGATGGGAGACCAACAATGATCGTGGAATTCGATATACAAAAAGCACCCCTGCAGGTTACAGATGAGGATCTCCTATCTGAAGTCTTAAAAAAGATGCTGTTCGAGCGCCAAGATATACCCCTACGAGTGGACGCCCATGTCGATGCAGAGCTGCAGTCGGCCCTTGGCGAGTTTGTCGTCCGAGATATTCCCTCTGGTGGAAATATCGTTGTTCGACGTATGTTTATCACTAAGGTGCACAAACAAAACAGAGTACTAACAATTCAAAGCGCCATATGGCTCTAGACTTAGTGATATAAAACCTCGCGCCCAGTCTATAAAGATCGTTGAAACCACGAAGGACAGCATCCTGGCTCAGGCTAATGTAAATTTTACCAACCCGACTAACTACACCGTGCATCTGCCTTACATCGACATTAAACTGGTTCACAATTCAAGTGACATAGCGCATATAATCGGGCATAACCTTCATGTACGCCCAGGACAGAATACTGCAGTCAAGATCGATGTGCTGTGGAACCCCTTGGAATCTGGTGGTGAAGATGGCACTAATGCAGGGCGGGACCTCGTGTCTAAATGCGTCTCTGGTAACTTGGATTAAGCCATTGCTAAATATATCTATGAGCTAACTGTTATTTTTAGGAATTAACACAACTGTTATTCTCAAGCCATATGCGAACAGCATTCCATCACTTCCTTTACTTGGCGAAGCATTGTCCAAGTTTGAAGTTGAAATTCCTATCCCAAGACTACACCTTCCTGGCGAAGGGGATGGGTCATTCATCAAAGACGCAACGGTATTACTGTCCCTCTAGAGTTTCGTGTCTTAACCCCCTTACCCTTAACTTCACGGGACTATCCCCGCTTCGATTTGGACTTCGGGTTGTACTGGTTTGGCCTTTTTCCACCGTGCCGGCCCGTATGCCTTCCTGAGCTCCAGTTTCTCCTTTTTGTATACATGGATGGAAATCTCTTAGAAAGCAAATGTTTACTTGGTTCTCCTTCCGGGTAGTTACATCTCCTTACATCTACTGCCGACTTTACGATTATATCGCCACTTTCATCGAAGACCCTTTATGTCACTTCCGTCAATGCAACTTCGCTCTTCAACCACACCTCTCCCGTTGGTACAATACAATATGATACACCTTTTGCTGTTCCGCCGGGGTCGTCTCTGTCTCCAAGACTTCCTGTTCGGCCTGATCTTACCGGTGCAGGGTACCAGGCGTTAAAGGATGCTCTGGGTGGAACTTTACAACTTGACGTTTTGGCTGATATCGGAATTAGACTTGGGAAATATAGGCAAACTGTTAATTACTCAGGCCAGGGAATAGGTATAAACGTGGGTTGGTAACCTGCTGTGGCCCCTGCTTAGCATTGTCTATTTATTATTCCTTGCTTGGATACCTTTCTAGTGCAGTTTTTGAGGCGTTTCGGTTGGCAAGGATGGTTTTGCGTTGGGCTTTTCTTTTCCTTTTCTTGATTCATGCCTAATGAGGTCATTGTATCTCGGATGCTTCCTATTATAAATGCAAAGGAGTAATTTGGATGTTATTCCCGGCAGGATGCGAATAAAAATTCGGCTTGGGTTCATACAACTCATGAGCAGAAATGAAAAGGATGTGCCATGCCTGCCACACCGTTAATGCATCACCCTTGACTCGTAGCCGGCATCATTCGGAGAAGCTGACTGTTCAACCTGCATGCCCTTCGGCCCGGCCAGAATTGCCAAGCACCCTTCTTGGCATCATCGCTGCCTTCAGGGATTGCTAGATTCCTAGATGCGTCGACAGTCACCGTTGCTTTCCATCAACAATATTATCGGATGACAATAGCAGGGTTGCTTTCATGTAGCCACTGTCAGAGAAGTACTGTTACGACTAAGAAATACAAGCACGACGCACGACGCACGATGTACGATGCACGATGCATGAAGCATGAAGCATAAGCAAAGCATACCTGGCATACTATGTACATCATGGCTATATTTATACATCAGGAAGCCCGAGACTCATACGATATAATCGGTTTTCCGGTCAAAAAAAGTTACCATCCGTCAGTTGCACTATTGAGGCATCTTCGGTTTTCCGGAGACAATCTCCACAAAATGGACCCTAGTCACCTTACTATCTGTATTCCTTACATAAAAGGACAAGACTTCGAGGCAAAGAGGATTAATTGCCCATAGGAATACGGAGGGCTCCGAACGCCAAGTCTGGCACATTAACCAGGTTGTGCCTTGGATTGTCCTTGGGCACAGTCGTTCTCCGTACACAATGGCCTTGAGCACTCCACTAGGTGTCCTGCATGCCTAGGGTTTAGGACCCTGACTGGTGAAATATGATCAGAGAGTATTGATCTAAATGCAACCGAGCTCTGTGGGGCCGCTTGACCTGCCCGAACGAGCAACGGTGAAGAAGGAGCCTCTCCGTGCCAACAAAACTGAAAACCTTCGTGGTTAAAGATAGAATACCTTCAACTCGTATCTGCAGGAAAGATGAACAACCCAAGAAGCTTGACATCTCATCACTGAGATTGACCTGGGATTCCGCCAAGTGGTATTCATCTCTCTTGATATTGACAATCCGTTGCCAATTAAATAGTTACTCTTTCAAAGGAATATTCGAATCGCATTCTTGATATGATCCCAATAACTGGTTATCTACGGGATTGCAAACTAGAAAGGGGAATAATCATATATGCCTCACTGTTGAGAGGCCAAAGACCTTGCCACTCGGACGTATACCCATTCACATACTCGGTGGATCGGCATGCATCCGGAGAAGTTTGGTTTCCGCTCTCCCTCAACTTCCGTCGAACATCTATTACATGCATGGAAGGTATCCGAGAGAGAAGAGCCATGGCCACCCTAGACGTCCATACTACACGTAGTATATTCATAGTACATAATATGCAGGGGTACTATATTTACATGGGAGATATTTTTTTCCCGTTGAAGTTCTGAAGAAAAGTCCGCACCGTACAGAGTATGGAGAAGCAGAAAGCTACTCTCAGCAGCCCGAATTATTTGTTTCGAAATACGCAATACGCGTTATCAGTTATCTCCTCCAGGATTTATACCATCAACAACATTGATATGTCCTCGATTATACTGTCATGTTGTGGCAAGAGGCCTGTCGGTTGGAAAAATAGCGGGACAATACCCCTGGCACGTTCATGCATGACCCTGTTAACATGATAGCTTGGGAAATTCTAATTTAGGGACTATGGTGACTTAAAATAGAAACCTGTAATATTTACAGGTCTCTTCCATTGGTCGCGTGTTTCAAAGTCAACATTTTCAGATATTGAAACCTCAAGACCACGAGTCAGCTCATGGTCATTCCTTCTTCGGAGAATCTGCCTTTTCCCGATCGACGCTATCCCAGCACGCATTCTCCATACACGTCTAGGTATAAACCTGCTTGATATGGATTCAGACGCTTACTCAAAGACTAGATTATAATGAAAGCATCTAACCGCACCCCTACGGAGTACGGGCCGCAGGAATGCGTCGGGAAATAGGTTTTGTTGGGCAAATGCAGTGTTCTCCTCTTTCACCGTGGAAATGTAACCTCTGTCTCACTCATCTTCGTTCCCTGTCTTGCATTCGAGTATGCAAGACGCAAATACGCCGTCTAAGTATAGGCCTCCAGTCTCCATCAGGAGCTCGGTTATACTGTTCGTATGTGACCATGCCCTCTACAGGAGAGACCGATTGTTGCCTCTATAACGGATGATACACACACCCGCCAAGGGGATCACTGAAGATTGACAGAATATAAATATCCCAAGGCCCACCCGTTATATTCCAATCTAAAGAGATCAAAACTACTAAAATCTTCCCTTCAAGCCCTCCTTTAGTCCAATTTCACAATGAGACTAAGTCATATTTTCAATGTTGGCGTCTTGGCCACAGTTGCAACTGCTTTATCAATTCCTCGTGGAAAAGAATCTCTGCCTGGACCCTCATTTAGGCCTCCTCCAAATGTCGACAGTGATAGTAATGTCATTGAATGCAAATATCCTGCAATGAAAGGCTGGGCAGCCGATAATGGCAGCAAAACAGGCTGGTTAAAGTGGGTTGGTGATGGACCAGCACCAGCCCCTGGAGCATTCAACATTACAACAGACTATGAAAAAATATTTCCAGAAGGAGTGACAAGGAAGGTAAGGCTTCCACAAATATTCCTTCCTCCTTCCTATCTAGAAATACATCCTAACATACTATGTTGAAGTATAATTTGGTGATTGACGAAGGTTCTGTCAATCTTGACGGAGTGACCGCGAGCCATGCTATGCTCTATAACGGCCAATACCCGGGCCCCTGGATTCGTTAGTCTCCTTCCCTTCTATACGATCATAAACGCCATACTAACCGCTACTTTGTTCAGAGGCATGTTGGGGCGATATTGTTGGTTAGTCTTTTCGGATGTATCTTGCGTTGAAGTGCATCTTACTAACTCCCACCAGAAATCACAGTTACAAACAAGCTGAAGTACAATGGAACTACCCTCCATTGCCATGGCCTTCGAATGTTCGACAATCTTCTTATGGACGGTGTACCCGGTATAACACAATGTCCGATTGCACCAGAAGATACATTCACATATAGATTCAGAGCCACCCAATACGGATCAACGTGGTACCACAGTCACTATTCTCTACAATACTCAGATGGCTTAGTCGGCCCTTTGACTATTCATGGCCCTTCAAGTGCAGACTACGATGCATCAATTGACCCTCTCCTCTTGGGTGATCACATTCATAGGAGTGCTTTTCAGGACTACTACAAAGTACAGACAAGGATACCTCCAGAGATGGACAGCCAGCTTTTGAATGGAATTGGTAAGTTGCAACCTCAGCTTGGGCTTAACTCTGTTGCTAACAAACTTTTACAGGAAATTATAACAAGGACCCCAACCGCAAGCCCTATAGTACACTTGTGAAAGCAGTACGTAACAAACATCTTCACTAACATAATTTACAAAATATCTAACGTCGAATTTCTGAAGGGAGAAAAATATTTAATGAGACTGATTAACACATCCACCGATACTACCTTCATATTTTCCATTGATAAACACAATTTCACTGTCATTGGCGCCGACCTTGTTCCATTGGAGCCCTATGATACTTCTCATATTCTCATTGGAATTGGTAAGTATCTCCGGGATTCTTTTCAAAATGAGAATACAAATTCTAATATTTACTTAGGGCAACGTTATCATGTCATCCTCAACACCCTTCCTGAAGTGAAGGATGGAGACTCGTTCTGGATTCGCATGGTCCCTGCGGGAGATGGGTGCAGCAGGTTCCGAAAAGACCACGTACCTGATGAAAGGATGGGAGCACTATACTATGGGAAGAAAACGGATGACCTTCCGAAGTCTGAAGGCGGCGGATACGACATAAGTTGTCGCGACGAGCCATATGAGCGTTTGAAACCTATTCAGAAGTGGAATGTGCCAGACCCATTATTGGCACCGGAGTTGATGACAAAAACCCAGAAAATCGGTATTGACGTCTGGAATCCCCCAGGTCGCCCTACCAACGCACCCAAAATTGCAAACTGGGGAATTGGGCCCCAGCCAATGTGGCTAAATTATTCGAAACCGATTGTTAAAAATATGAATATCGAAGACTGGCCCGAGACCTGGACTGTCTATCCCGCACATGATTATACCCACGAGCAATGGGTGTACCTTGTTGTTACGGGACAAGAGAAACAGGACGGACTAACTAGAACACAGGCTCCAAATGCTCATCCGGTATGTCTCAAAAAGCGAATACATTTCCTTTACCAAGGCATACGAAAACTGACCCTTTAATTATAGTTGCATTTCCATGGTCATGACTTTGCGCTCCTGCAGCAATCCTATGAACCGTTCAACAACAGTACATTGAACCTCAAGCTTGATAACCCACCTCGCCGCGATGTGGTTTTGCTTCCTAGCAATGGGTTTGTTGTCCTTGCTTTCAAGGCTGACAATCCCGGCTCCTGGCTCATGCATTGCCACATCGCCTGGCATGCTTCAGCCGGTCTTGCTCTTCAGATCTTGGAGGACAAGAATGATGTCGTCGAGTATCTTAAGTCTCACCCTGAAGATGTCAAGGAGATGCATCGAGTGTGCGACAACTGGGATAAATGGTACGGCAATCCCGATAACCATTATCCTGCCGATTTCTTCCAGGAAGACTCTGGTATATGAAGGCTGGCCGTCCTAATTCTTCTGTTTAAATACTTCTTTTTCATTCTTTCTTGTCTTTATATTCTTCTATATATCCCCTTTTGTTATATTAATGATTTAAGATACCTGGATGAGTAGAAAATAACTCATTTACCTTTTTTTATTCAACAGCATGGCATGAATTGATTCTTATAAAAAGTAAATTCGTTACATTACTGGAGTACAAATATAAAATAAATACAAAGGCCATTCCACCGGCTTAATTATACACATATGTAGCAGGCAATGTTCCCTTATATTCAAACCCTGCCACATCCGCCCTATAGCATGAGGTCGAAGGGTCCTCGATTCCAGGGACCGTTATGTTTTTGAACGGGGCAAATAGTTGGTAGTAGTCCTTTCGTATTTCGGAGTTGGGGCATGCCCACCACCATGTCCCAGGTTGATTGGGCACAAAGACCCAGTCGTATGCGTAATTTAGGTTGGCCATGCATGCGCCTGGAGGCATTACCGGGTCGGACGGTGATGTATATCGTAGTGCACCGTCTGCGTCAAGATATATACGTTGACCACCATCGACACCAACACTCTGGCCCAATAATCAGAATAGGAAGACTCAAATAGCAAAAGAAGGGTATAAATTATCAAGTTGTGTGATATAAGGGGGGTTTTTTTTGGGTTGATTCACGATGTAGAGTACTTACCAAAGAGTCCATCTTGCCTCCGTTGAGTACTGTCTCATCCATTTCAGAGCATTGGTTGTCAGGACAAGTAGTTGATGGCTTCCCACCTATCCAGAATCGTGATTGGTATGCTTGGAGGTATTCTTCTCTGGAGGGGTTCTTTCTCATAACTCTCATGGTGACGGCATCGAATGGTGCCTCCCAGCCTGGATCCCGTTTCTGGGTCTCATGTACTGGTATGGCTCCACTTATGGCCAAGAAAAAAGGGATAAATGATATAGTCTTCATGATTGTGCAACGTTCAGGTCTGTCTGCCGTCAAACAAATTGCTTCAGTATGTGGTGAACAGGAGCGGGAAGAAGAGAGGATATATATCCAATGCCATCCATGTAAAATTTGAATATATCATGACCTTCAAATTACTAAAGAGCAAAATCAGAGAATGTCCTAGACCCGAAGTCGTCATTTCAACTCGTGAGGAGAAGTTGTTGCATGGTTATATATTGCCCCTGTCATATGAATGAGCATGCAATGCAACAGACAAGGGCTGTGACGATGTAGGGATATAGGCAGGGCGAAGAAAACTCTTGATCACAGCCTGGATTTGATCACTTTCTAGAAAGATATTGACGAGGAGGATTAGTTCTCTACATCAATAAAACCAGAAGCATCGACTCCTATTCAATTAAATATTTTGTGTTGCCCCTGTTCTGATTTGTTTGTCAAACATATAAAAAAAAAAGAAAGCAGCGGCTGCACAGTCAAGGGAATCGAAAAGGCTTAACCGGTCTCTTCCCCGCAGGAAGCAAGGGCTTAAACAGCTCCGGAAAGACGGAATGCATAGCTCTCTACTATGTGTGTCCTCTTTGACCCTGCAGCTACCTCGCGGGCCCGGTCCTTCTCTCCCCTGGGGCGGAGTGCATCTCTGGCTGAACCGCTGGAGTAATGCATTTCGTCATCATGGGGAGCAATAACTTCACCTCCGTCTACACCGATGAAGTGCACTAGAGGCCTTTTGAAGATTTTGCTATATTTCGCCTGATTTCCTCCTAGTTACATGTTTGTCATATAATATAGATGGTGGTAAAGCGTAGCGAGTCGGCCGAATGTGGCTGATATCAGAGGAAAAAACCGGGGTTGCTTCTCGTATAACTATGCTTACAGGAGGCAAGGGCGAAAACTGACCCCAAAACCACGTATATTAAGCCTGGCAGCGAACACCTACACCAACTATGTGAGATGTGTAAGGGATAAGGGATTATTAGCTAGCATACCCCTCGCTCGGTGTCTATAGCCTCAGGTAAAATCCATCATTTTCTATGTCCCATACCACCGAGACGTGCAGGAGGCCGGCCTTGTCCTAACATGACGTGCTTGGATGAGCAAGGTAGAGAGCTGCCCGGCGGCCTTGAGCAAAGCAATGGGATAATCCCTCCCCGAGGTGTGTTCACTCTTGTCCGAGCGTATCCTGGTGAGAGAGTAAGGATATAGATCTTGCTGCATCCCCGGCTATTATTAATCGGCCGTGGCGAGCGCGCACCCAGAGGGTTATGGGCTATCGTCATATCCAGGGTTGCACAAACAGCATGTTTGCTCTAGGGTTCGCAGTCAGCAGCGATACTCCGTAGAGCGGCCTGGATTTCTCCTGCTTAGTTATGTGTGATTCCAACCCTCTTCGAACAAGCCCCTTCCCAGGAGATATAACTTGAGGACACATCACATGCCTTCATCCATAACAGGAGAAGGACTTGGATTCAGCCGCGGTTGGTGTATCAAGGGCGAACGGAAGTAAACTGCTTAGGATCGGTCGTATAGCTGAATACGGTAAATCAAATGGTGCTGATTTTGGGCGCGCCATCTTTACTCATAGCGAAACTCGAGCGAGCAGCTACCCAGTAAGGACCGCCCGTAGATTGGACATATTCTCTACGAACGGACACGGACGGAGAGGACTTGTCGGGTTGCAGGAGAAATGTCGCCATAGGACAGGATCGGAGAATGCGGTTGTGGCTGGACAGGGTAGGATGGCGATCTATCGGATACCTCCCTCTCTGGTCACACAATAATAACCATCTTTCAATGAGTTATTTAATCTGGAGTCTGGGGGATAACCCGTTCGCCGAGAAGAGAGATCGTGACCATGTTATTCTTTTCAACGAATACAAGGGTTTAGAAGCATATATCCTCCTCCCACGGAGAAGTAAACTTGGCAGGGAGAGAACTAACCATCTCTGACGTCTCCAGGGAAAGTTGCGATATGCTCCGATCAAGTGAGCCAGGATATACTGTCGGCTTATCCCAATCGTCCCAAGCGGGGTATAAGACACGATTGAACAGAGACACATAGGATGTATGTGTTGTGTATAATGGAGGGTGGAAGAGAGAGAGAGAATCAACCAGTGATAGCCTGCATAAAACATGCAGATGAGGATGAGGCCTCCAGGAAAGGAAAAAAAATGGTTGTTTCAACTGTTGGTAACAACCCCGGCCCCTTAGGCACCAACCCAGGGATACAGCGCAAGATACAACCCGATACTTCTGGTTTTCCTTTGTCTGTGCTGGAGACCAGGAGTATGGATGAGTATCTCGGGTTGCATCTGCTGATCCGTACGCTTGGCTTCTCTTCCCCAGACACCAGCAGGCTGACCTGATCGTGCATGGCACACAATGCCGTATATACATACGTGGGTCGAATCAGCGAAGAGGAGATTCGGCTGCCGGGGCGATCTGAGAGCCTGAAGCTGATGTTGGCCTTCATGTCTGCCTCTCCGTCTTCATCTTCATCTCGTCGAGAACTGTAATCGTACGAAGCAATAGCGAATATATGCGAACTGCTCCTCCATCATCCTTCGCTCGCAGCGGCTGCACATCACATGTTGTAGATAAGCATGATTTGCTCTCTTTCTCCCTCTCTTCTGGTATGCAATAAGCCTCAGGCCAGTTAAACAGTTTGATGTCACCTTGCATTTCGCCGCAAGTTAGCAAGCCACATCATCCCAATTGTATGTTTTCCCACGCGAGAATACGAAGTTATATCGACCCCGCCAGTGTCTCTCTCAATTCCCAATTGAACAGTCTATAACTTTACCGCATGCAGTGAAATTGAAAGCGTCCTAGATGATGTGACACCCTCTCAGCCTCGGGCGGCTGGTGGCCTTGTTAGGTTTCATGAGGTTTGTCGAGTGACCAGTTCTAAATATTCTAGTCAACATATAATATTCATCATAGCTAATCTGGAGAAGTTAGTTTGAAGCGATATTGTATAAGAAAATAATAATCCCATTAAAAAAAAAACACTGCATGGCATGGCATACGTACATAAACGAGACCAGCCTATTCTTAGATTCGTCAATCCACGACTAGCTGCGCCGCGTGTTTGGAATATTATATGCAACCTGCAAGTCACCAGACGACAGAAAGCAGCAAGCAGTTAACATCAGTTAACAGGCATTCAAAACCACTGACTGCACTGGCCTCTTTTCCCGCTATCAAATATGATACCGCAGCCTGGGTAGCAGGGGGTGCCGTGTATCTCGCGTCTACCGCCTCACCGCATGGCGGACCGTCTTAGGCTCACCGATACTATGGTAGGAGTCCCTTGTCTAATATCGAGTCTAGGGTGGAGTTGGAGTACCGTCCGGTGGCCAACTAGAAGGCGATTTGATACACTTCATCCAGTCTATTGGATATCGGATTAACCAAATAGAAAATCATTCGATCTCCAGTCATCATAATTTGATAACAAGGAGACGGGACTTACGTGTTAAAAAGCCCACAAGGTCGAATTGTAAAAAGGATAGAAGGATAAAAAAGAAAATTCAAATCGAAGTACCTCCTTAGACGGGGGACCGGTCATGGAGGGCACCATTCTCGGTTTCAACGCTCAATGTTCTCTTTTCTCTTTCCGCATCCTCCTGAGCGCAACAAGGCTGGCTGGCCCATATTGGGCTCTCGGTATGCGTCCTGGCCGTATGTATGTGTATCTGCATGTCACGGCATCCCCGGTCAGTGATCCTCAAGTTGGCTTTTTTGTTCCCTCGAAACATATGATGCATGATATAAAAATAAGGATGCCGTTGAGTGGAGTAAATCTCTAACGATGCTCGCCTCCGATGGCGAAGCGTATCGTGAGATTTTAATGCCCAAGAAACCGGCTGCTTTTGCTCCTTGACGCTATTATTCCGTACTACCCATGACGTCTTTTTTGCTCCGCCGTGTCGTGTTTTTTTTTTCTTTTGAGTCATGGCTGTGAATTTTCCATGCCCCCTTTTTTTTTGATATCCACCCATCCCTGGATGGTGAGATGTCCTTGACCCGCCCTATGCAGTGTATATACATATATATAAATATACGGATGGGACATATATAAATATATGTATATATCGGTTCACACCCTCCAGATCATTGGTCTTGTTATTTTTTTGTCTTTCTGTCTTTACTTTGTCCTTCGCTTTGAACTAGATGCTGGTCAGTTTAAATATCACACACTTTCAAACTTATCACAGGGCAATCAAACACTACCAAGTATGTCCTCGTTGTCCCGTAAAATCCATTCAAAATATTGACTGACATCAAGTCAAGGCCTTCTGCAGTGGTCAATGGGAAGACGGCCTGGATACGATATTCACATTCCAGGACAACACCATCTGTTGATTAACTGGTCAGCTTGACCAAATCATCATCTCCTCAAAGCACCTCTCTCAATATCAAGGACTCACAAACGACTGAAGCCTTGATAGAGAACATAAACCCTCTATACACCAACCATGTGCAAGAAACTCCTCTATTATCGATGTGGTGCCATCGAGACCATTTTCTCTCGAGACTGTAACTGCTCCAGGAAAGTGGGAGAAGAGCGTTCCCGCCTACATTGTGGGATTTGCTCGGATTGCCAGACATAACGTTGAGAAAATAGATGGCTCAATCAGTTCAGGCGACTGTTTGTGCCTTGCTGGATGATGGATTGCTTGATTAAATATTGACGATTGATGACCTACAACCTCCTTTCCTTTTTTATTTTTTCATTCGAAGAGGGAAGAGCTATATATTCTCTGGTTAAGATATAAAATGGCTGCCTTCATCCCTATCCTTCATCCTTTCACTCTTTCTCCAGCCTGTTCCATTAAATTTCTTCTTCTTTTTCATGTTACAGCTTCATATACCCAACATGTGTCTCGCGGGCGATTTAGACCAGTTTACTGTTCTCCTTCCTCATAATTGCTTCTCGGTCTAGATCTGCTTCATTTCTTCCAAGTGTTTTAAATGTATTTGAAATTTATTACTCTTTTTTGCATAAGCTTCAAAGATTGTTATTACTAGACACAGGTATCCCAGCATCTCATATAGACGGTCACATCCTTGTCACATCCATCTTGATCAAGGCAACCATACAGCGTTGAACAATTTAACAGCCTGCACTAACCCAATCCTTGTTAACCTGGCTGGGAAGGTAGGAAAAGGACAGCTGGCCGAGTTTCCAGCATCGTGCTGGTGAGGAAGTGGGAAAGAAAAACGCCTGCAAGCGGAACAATACAGACCCAGGGTAGTTCCAGGAAACAAAGCAAAGGTGGATAGAACGGTGAGCGGCTTAACCTGGGGGCAGAGTGCTCGTGTCGACAACATCAGCGGCCTCTTTTTCGATTTCTTCAACAGGTGATGTTAATGGAGAACGAGGCAGCGCCATCAGACCGGTTCGGGTAGATTCAAGGATTCCAAAAGGTGAAATCAGCTTGAGGAACGAGTTGATGCGGCTGGGTTTTGCGGAACTATAAAAGAAGTTAGCCATCGATCCCGATTTAACCTTCTGGGCTCAAGCTTACAGTTCAACAATGCAATTGTTGGTGCTAATATCGAGCACCTTTCCTCCAAACTGGTGCGTCAGATGCGTAATAGCCTCCAAATGTTCATGCTTATGTCGAAGAGCCTCGCTGGCAGCTAATCTACTTGGATGATAATCGGCAATTTCAGAGAGTGATCCATCCACTTTATGCATTTCACGATGCTGAGCTTCACCTGAGGATGGATTGTTGGTATCACTTTCGGGAGTAGACATTTCTTGATGATGCTGAAGCAATTCCTCAAAGACCTCTGGCCCCAAAATGCTAACCTTCGCCAGCAGCAGCTCACGCTGGACGAGAGCAGAGTCTGTATAGTCCAGAACAGCCCAGACAGGAACGAGGTCATCCAATTGACGGCGTGCTTGTTCAACAACGCCGTCCAAACCACGCAGCACGATGGTCATTCTCGACAGATCTTCAACTTCGGTATTACACACGACAAGGCTGTCGATGTTGAAACCGCGCGCGGCCAGAATGCCAGAAATCCGAGATAGCACACCCGGCTCATTTTGAACAAGGCAGTTTAGCACATGGCGCTTCGGCGGTTTTGTCGATGGAACAGGGGTCTCGTAAAGAATGGAGGAAACCGCGGCGGGAGCAGACCATTGCGGCGATGTGTCAGAGACAGGAAGCGGGAGGGGTGAGCGCCGATGAAGAGCTTTATATGCAAGGGCGGATGTTGAGCTGGATGACAATCTAATCTGCTGGTATCTTTGATAGCTCTTTAAGCTCAGACGCTGACATGGATTCTCAACTGCAACCCATGCCCGGCTCAATTGGCCGCGAAAAACAGCTTTGGAGGCCATTGATGCTGGAGAAGCTAACAAATTCCCACTCATTTTTCCAAAGGACAAGTCCCAGGAAGAGCGAGAAGCATTTATCTCCTTTGACTTCGTCTGAGTCAAACAAGTTGTGAGTAATAAAACCAACGCATTTTCTATCTTTTTTTTTTATTTTTTTTCCCTTTTAGAGAAAAAGGCCGGCGGTTTGATCATGTGATAATGACTAAGAGCCGAGATCGGAGAAAAGGGAGTTATCTCCTTTAGGACTAGCTCAATTATCATGTGACTTAACACGTGCTGTTGTATGACTAAGCAGGATCGGCTCAAAAAAGGTCAAAAAACAAAACAATAAAAAAAAGATGATCGCGAAAGATCAAATTTCAAATTTGTTGGAAGAAGAGAGAGAGAAAAGAGAGAAAGAAGGCGTTTCTCAGGATAAGAGCATTGATTCTACAAACTCTTCCCCTCTGGGTGTTTAAAGGCCTTTTTCTGTTGCAGTTCTCGAGACGACACCAGGATGTCCGAGAGTGACAGACGGGCCAAACGCTCTCGTTTCGACCAAACAGAGCCTGAGCCGAAACGACAGTCTCGATTTGATAGACGTTCACGCTCCCCCTCAGCTCGAGTTTCAGAGCCGGTGCGTGATCGCAGCCCAATTAACCGTAGATCTAGCCCGGGATCAGAAGATGCGAGCAAGTCAGCTACTCCCTCTGATCCTGCAGTAGCTGCAGGTGAGTTCATTTTGATATTGGCCCCTTTGCTGCGTAGCTCTACGGATCAATGACCACATAGCTAACTACTATGACTATAACCGATAGCTGCCGCTGCCGCCAAAATAAAGGAGCAGATACAAGCAAGACAAGGCTATCAACAATCCTCCACCCCCCCAGGACGCTCCGTATGTTCGAATACTACTCCTCTAAAATCACTATATCGCATTGTTGTTTTGACTGGCGTTTTAGATTTCTAGCCCATCCAGTAAGGCCTTATCCTCGGTTGCCCATATAAATGGTGAAGTATACATGGCGGATGGCGATTACATCAAAGACATCGAAGTCAATGATCTCCGAAACCGATATACTATAACTAAAAGCACTACTCAAAAGATGGTAAATATCTCTATAATATCCGCTGATACTCCCAGGCGTTTGTGGCTCGATATATCCTTCCCCTGGAACTAACTCCAAGTATGGACGGGAGGGTACTCGCTGGGATATATAATTCTCACTTCCTATCATAATTGACCACTGCTAAGCACTTTGTTGCGTCAACTTTTGTGATGATGGATGAAGCTTACCCACAATTCTTCATAGCACCTAACTCCCGCTATTTTGCATCTGCTGACCTCCGCTGCGTGATATAGATTAAAGAAGAAACTGGCGCCGGTACGACAGTTTTCCTTCCACCCCGTTTTTGCATTCTAGAAACAAACTTGTTGGTTAAGAGAATATGCTCATAATTTCTGAAAAGATGTCACCACTAGAGGAAACTACCTTCCTGATAAAAGCATGGCAACCCCTTCGGTAAGTCCTTGGAATGTCCTAACCATTGTTCTAATTGGTGAGATGCTAATATGTTTCTGTTAGAACCCGCCACTGTACCTGCATGTGACCAGCAGGACGAGAGAGGGACTGGATAAGGCAGTTGAGAAGATTGAGGAACTCATGAAACAGGAGCTCCCTGTTCTAGTTGATGAACGGAGATTCCGTCGAAGGGAACCACCAGAGCCTGTTGAAAGAGATGAGTTTGGTCGCGTAAGTGACCTCCTATATCAATATTTATATATACAACTCACATTCTAACTATGGCCTGTAGCGTAAATGGCCTGAGGAACGGATTCCTATCGATCTGGAACCTATTCCTGGCTTTAATTTGCGTGCACAAGTTGTTGGCCAGGGTGGTCAATATGTCAAGCACATTCAACAGAAAACCCACTGCCGTGTCCAGATCAAGGGTCGTGGGTCCGGATTCAAGGAACACGGTACTAACCAAGAAAGTGATGAACCAATGTATCTGCATGTTGCGTGAGTTTTTCTCTTAGTTACCTATGACTTACCCTTGTTATTCTAACGTTTCCTTAGCGGCCCTGACCCAAATGAAGTTCAAAATGCCAAAGCCTTGTGTGAGGATCTACTCAGTAATGTTAAGGAACAGTATGAAAAATTCAAGGAAAACCCACCACCGCAGCGAAGTTATCACGGGGGTGGGGGTTACGGCCATCGCGACCGCCACCAATATGGCCTAGGCTATTCATCTGGTGGTGGTCCTCATGGCGGCGGTGGCGGAGGATACAACAGCCACTCCTCCCCACAAACGCCGTCAGGTATGAGCCCTCAATCTGGTTCCGGAACAACACCTACTCCATCCGCAGGTGGTTCTCAGTCAGATTATAGTGCGCAATATGCCCAGTACTATGGAGGACAAGACCCTTATGCTGCATACGGAGGCTATCAAAATTACGTTGCTTACTACCAGTACTATCAGCAACAAGCTGCACAGCAACAACAGCACAACACACACTCAGAGCTACTGCACTCCACCGCTCCCCGGACTCTGCTGCACTCACTC